GGGTAACAAAGACATCGGCTAGGGAGGACGACGCTTGAGTAAGCTGTGCCACACCTTGGCCGGGGTGTGCCACATCTCGGCCTAGGCCATACCTGCCTGCGGACAAGGTTCACTAAGTGCAAAACATCTCGGCAAACATGCCCGAGGTGAAGATGGGGATCGACCAAGGTCTCAAAACAGTTCTAAGTACAAAGGTTCAAGGGCGAACTAAGTTCAAGGTGACCTCGGCCACACACACACCGAACAAGGACAAAACCACGCAAGCAATACTTCAACAAAACAAGGCAAGGCAAAACCTTCAAATTAACATAACAAGGCAAGATCGTGCATGAATGTATGCAAGTATAACAAGAGTAAGGTGAGGGCTGCTACAGTCTACCCCCCTTAAAGAAGTTTGGTCCCCAAACTTAAATTACCTTGCTCTATGAACAACTCTGGATAACGGATTCTCACATCCTCTTCCTTTTCCCACGTGGCTTCTGTGCCATAATGCTCCTTCCATTCGACCTTTACCATCGGTATCGATTTGTTTCTCAACTGCCTCACTTGTCTGTCAATAATCCTCATTGGCTTCTCCTCGTAGCCCAAATCCTCATTAACCATAACCTCGGAATGATCAATTATATGCAGTGGATCTCGGATGTACTTCCTCAACATCGAAACGTGAAACACATTGTGGACTTGGCTCAAATCTGGCGGCAAAGCAAGTCTGTAGGCAACGGGGTTAATTCTCTCAAGAATTTCAAACGGTCCAATATATCGTGGTGCCAATTTACCTTTCTTTCCAAATCTTGAAACTCCTTTCGTTGGTGAAACCTTCAGGAATACATGATTCCCTACTTCAAATTCTAATTCATTCCTTCTCTGGTCGGCGTAGCTCTTTTGTCGGCTCTGGGCAGTTTTAATCCTCTGTTGGATAAGTTTGATCTTCTCTGTTGTCACTTGAATCAATTCGGGACCAAGCAGAGCCCTGTCTCCGACTTCGGTCCAATATATCGGCGACCTACATTTCCTTCCGTACAAGGCTTCGTATGGCGCCATGCCAATGCTAGCTTGATAGCTGTTATTGTAAGCGAATTCCACTAAGGGCAAATGTGTTCCCTAACTTCCTAGGAAGTCCAATACACAAAGTCTAAGAATATCTTCAAGTGTCTGAATAGTCCTCTCTGTCTGCCCATCCGTCTGGGGATGAAAAGCTGTACTAAATCTCAGCTCGGCTCCGAAAGCCCTCTGTAGACTCTGCCAAAATCTAGAAACAAATTTAGGATCTCGGTCTGACACAATTGACATCGGCACTCCATGAAGTCTGACAATCTCGTTCACGTATAACAAGGCAAGTTGATCGGCGTTGAAGGTAGTCTTAACAGGTAAAAAGTGTACTGATTTAGTTAATCTATCAACAACAACCCAAATCGAATCCATACCTTTCGGTGTCTTCGGCAAACCAATCACAAAATCCATGGAGATGTGTTCCCATTTCCACTCAGGAATCGGCAAAGGTTGAAGAAGTCCTGTCGGTCTTTGATATTCTGCTTTCACTTGTTGACAATGCAAACACTGGGACACGAATTCGGCTATCTCTCTTTACATATTTGGCCACCAGAAGGTCTGCTTCACATCTTGATACATTTTGGTGTTCCCTGGATGAACAGCAAACTTAGAACCGTGAGCTTCCTGCAAAATTTTCCTTTTCAACTCTGGGATGTCGGCCACACATAACCTTCCTTCACACTTGAGTACTTGATTTTCGATAGTATAACCTAATCTCGGCTTTGTGTCAATTTCCTCGGCTATTTTCTTCAAGAAGTTATCCTCCATCTGTCTTGTCTTTACCTCATCAACAATAGTCGGCTCCACTGTCATCACAGTCAAACACGCCAAATTTCCATCTGACTTTCTGCTCAAAGCGTCGGCTACACTGTTAGCTTTACCTGGGTGATATTGAATTTGCATATCATAGTCCTTC